TGTAGGCTCGTTTAGGCTCGTGAGCCTAATCGAGCCAAGTAAAACAGGCTCGAGCTCGAGCTCGTTTAATAAACAAGTCTAATATTAAGCTCGAGCTCGGCCCATACTCATTTAAAATCGATCTCGAGTCGAGCTTTTAACGATTCGATCTCGAGTAGCTTACGAGTAGTTTGACTCGTTTGCACCCTACTTGATTGTACAACATAATGATGCTAGAACCTTCAACATCGGGTTGGTTAACACATATTCATGGATGAGAAAGCAAATTGTTAAATTACATTTTGGAGAATCCCAAAATCAGTGACAAAAAATAGCATTCGAAGTTATAAAGATATTCAACATAAAGGTTAATGTTGGAACTTACGTTCACATTATAAAAAATTAAGAAGTTATGGTCATGAGATTTTGAGGTTTAATCTAAGTTCTAGTGTAAAGGTAGATGTATATATTATGTCAGATTCCACGTGTTATTTTTAATACCATTGAAATAAACCATTAAATTTCTTGTGCGAATCGATCATACTTTTCACTACACAATTGTTTAAAGTATCTTGAAAAAAATGATTGCCATGTATAGGTTTCTCACGATTATATATGTAGCTAATTTTGTAGGATGGAATTTGTGAGAGTAAAATGTATATTTGATCTTTTTCTATGTCCCAAAAAGGAGACTACAAATTGTGTACAAATTTTTCTAAATGACAACTAAGTTAAAAGCCATACTATTGTCCTAGGATTCAACACCAATCTTATCATTAATAGACACGAATCTTGATGCATTAAATGGTTTGAGTCTCCATCTAATACAACCAGAACCAATAAAAAAATGAACTGATTTGTACACAACACTTTTTCTCTGCACACAACAATTTGTGCTTTAAAGTGTTATATTGTACAACTTTATAATGCATAAATTGTTGTGTACGGCAAAAAATTGTTGTGTACGAATCACTTCCCATAAAAAAAGTAGCACATAAGTTGGATACAAGAATATGTCCAACAAACTACCAAAGATGCATCAAGAGCAGCCGGCTAAACTTTTTATCCACAAAGGTGTGTTTTCTTGGTTATTCTAAAAACTTAACGATAAATAAATAAAGCAAAGAGAATCATGACCTTAAACATACATGAAGGTATAGTGCCAAAGTTAACTCCATTGATGATAAGATCGTAAACCTTTACAAGATTAATGAAAATCTAAAAATAAATAATTATTGGGTAAACTAAGAAGAAAACATGAAAATATAGTAAGGCATTGCTTGGATCTTTGCACAAACAACAATCTACAACACTTTTGGGAGAAATTGTTTATCAGAATCAACCAGTTATCTTGTTTTCATTCTCTCAAACATTTTGATTCAGCCAAACAAACTACAATAATCCTTTAAAAGGCTCTTGTCCACTGGAAGCATATATCGATTCCAACTCCAAAGATCTCTTACAAAAGAATGTGCAGGGTGTTGACAATGTTATGAACAGGTAGTCTAATCCACATGCTACTTTTAACAATAGCATCCAATTTGGTCATCTAGGTTCCATTGGGCATATATTCATCTACAATTATTATCATGACAACTTGGAAAGCATCTCAAATTCAGTAGGGTGCTTTTGGTTAACGGCTACAGCTAGAAAATTTCTAATCATTAAATTTTTTAGCTTATTACACCTTTCCAAATCCACTTATCTAAATCTTAAAAACTCTTTTGGCTCTTAAGTGCAAATTCGTAGAACTTGCACACATTATGATAAACAAGGATCATCTCTTTGTTTTAATCACAATAACCAATCAAAGAAATTAACTCTTTTATATCAATATAAACTTTATACTGCTTACCAAATTATATATCTCGGAAGAGCATAAATAAATATAGTATACACTTTCTCAAATCCTGTGTATACTTTCCCAAATCCTTGCTTTCAACTCTTAACAACAATTAATCTTTTTATGAAGGTGGTCTAATCCACATAAAACACGCATCTGTAGTTGCACATGAGTTCCACCTGTATACACCTTCCCAGATCTACCTTTTCCAATAATCAATTCGGATTGAATCTGGAAGAAAGAAAACAGCTGCGTTGAAATCGATGATGAAAGATCATCACCCTCACCAATTGCAGAGTACATTATCCTGTTTAAGAAACCAGATCAGTAATGAATTCTTTGAGAATAACGTTTAGCTATCCAGATCTGTAATGAGTTTTTCTCTTTTTTTGGAATGACGTAATAAGAAGCGTGTACCATATAAAATAGGGGTGATTGATGACACTATCATTTATGGTTTATAAAACTCAAGTATCGATCAAGGCTTATAAAAGTCAAATTGAAAGCCCAATCAAAGATGAAAGATGGATCAAAAAAAAAAAAAAAAAAATCCGAATTCGAATCAACTGATTAAAAGTATCCAAAAAGAGAAGTATCGATATTTAAAGGTACTATGGGCTTCTATTACTACAAAAAAAATACGAGAATTTCTTTAAATATCAAAATATGCATAATAATTTTTAAATATTATATTTATTCTATTTTATCTATTATAATAAATAAAGATTTTTTTGATATATCATGTTATATTCTCTTTCATTTCGACACATTACATTTTATAGAATTTTTAAATTTTTTATTTTCCACTATGCATTTTATTATATTAAAATTCCACGTTTAATATGTAATTATGCCTTTGAATTGAAATTCATGAATTATTTTTTTGAATATATTAATCTTGCAAGTGGAATGGTAACAAGGGGACGCATTATAAGAAAAGAGGGTGACAAATTTATTGGGCAAATTGTATACTCCATATGTTTCACACAAATAATTTAGGGTGCGTTTAGTTGCGAAAAAATGGATCGTTTTTCGAAAAAAATTTCCAAGAAAAATGAACAGTTTGAAAACGCGTTTAGTTCATCTATTTTTTTTAATTTTTCACAGGAAATGAAAATTTTTCATTTTCTAAAACTACAAAGAAGTTGAAATTTTTTAGAAAACTGATAATCATTGTTTTTCACATCTTTCTAATTGCAAATTTTTTCTAAAATATAAACACACACCCACTTCAACCCCATCCACCTCTACCTACCCCCACCTTAACACCCTCAACCCACCCACACACACACACAAACACATACATACATACACACACACCAACCCACACACAAACACACACACACACCAACCCACACATACACATACATACCCCCCCATACACACACACACCAACCCACACACACACATACACACACCAACCCACACACACACACATACATACCCCCCCCCCACACACACACACACTCACCCACAAATACACACACACATACACATACCTACCCACACACACACACACCTACAAATACATACACACATACACATACATACCCACCCACAAACACACACACACACATACATACCCACTAATGCACCCACACACACTCACACACATACTCACCCACAACCCCACAAACACACACCCACACACACACAAACCCACACCTACCACCACCCCCACCCTCACAGACACACACACCTACCCACACACAAACCCACACCTACCCCACCCCCACCCTCACAGATACACACACCCATACACACACATACCTACCCTTACCCCCACAAACACACACACACACATACACACACACAAACACACACTCACAACCACTGCCGCCGATCCGCTACCGTCACCGCCCCCACCCTCACCCTACCACCGCTACCGTTTTCTAAAACTGAAAACCGATAGAAAAATACACATCTAAACACGTTTTCTAATTTTCTAAAACTGAAAATGAAAAATGAATAAGTTTAACTAAATGTTTTTTCTAAATTTTTCAATAAAAAATGAAAACGGAAAACGAAAATCAAAAAGGGAAAACAAAAAACGGAAAATGAAAATTGTTTTTCCGTAACTAAACGCAACCTTAGAAATTTTGATAAATTTTAAATCATCATAAAATATGCATACGATCTCGGAAAGGGGCGTTTTTTTTTTTTTTTTTTTTTTTTTTTTTTTTTTTTTTTTTTCCGAGATGGTTGCCCTCTATCTTGTCTACATGTTAGGATAAAAACATAGCTGAATTGGTTAAGTTTTGGCTGAGTTATATAGCCCTAAAAAGGGGTTGTTATGAATTTTTTTTTTTTAATATTTAGCACTTTTTATAAATTTTGTCTAAATTTGAACCATCGTAAAAGCTTCATACAAGTTCAGAATGATGCAATTTTTTTTCAAACTGTACTCCTCTGTCTTATCTACGTTTTAGAACAAAAAAAAGAAGCTTAATTGGTTAAGTTTTGGTTGAGTTATACAGTCACAAACAGGGGCTGTTATGATTGTTGTGTGATATTTCAACACTTTTTATAAATTTTATCGAACTTTGAACCATCATAAAAGCTTCATACAAACTTGGAATGATGCGATTTTTTTTTTCAAACTGTTCTCCTCTGTATTGTCTACGTTTTAAAATCAAAAAACAACTTAATTGGTTAAATTTTGGTTGAGTTATACAGCCACAAACAAGGGCTATTATGATTGTTGTATGATATTTCAACACTTTTTATAAATTTTGTCTAACTTTGAACCATCATAAAAACTTCATACAAGCTCGGAATGATGCGATTTTTTTTTTCAAACTATACTCCTCTTTCTTGTCTACGTTTTAGAATCAAAAAACAAATTAATTGGTTAAGTTTTGGTTGAGTTATACAACCACAAACAGGGGCTGTTATGATTGTCAAATGATATTTCAACATTTTTTATAAATTTTGTCCAACTTTGAACCATCATAAAAGCTTCATAGAAGCTCAGAATGTTGCGATTTTTTTTCAAACTATACTCCTCTGTCTTGTCTACGTTTTAGAATCAAAGAACAACTTAATTGGTTAAGTTTTGGTTAAGTAATATAGCCCCAAACTTAACCAATTAAGTTGAACTACTATTTCAAGCCCCAAACTTAATTGGTTAAGTTGAATTACTATTTCAACCATCTATTATGTAATTTTTTTTGTAGACATGGCAGGGCGAAACAAACACACATGGACTAATGAAGAGGTTGCAAAGTTAATTGAAGAATTGTTGGAGTTACATGTATCCGGAAAGTATGGTGGTGCCGACAACGGATTCAAACCCGGTTATTTGAAGGCAGTGCAACAATTACTAGATATAAGTCTTTCTAACTCGGGTTTGAAAGCAGAGCCTCATATTAAATTGATGAAGACATGGAAAAACTATTTCACCATCATGCACGACGTGGTATATGGAACAAACACAAGTGGATTCGACTGGGATACAGATAAATATTGTGTTACTGCCGATGCTGAAGTTTGGGATGAGTACATAAAGGTACCATGTTTGTAGTATTTTTAGCATCATTAAAACATATTGTAAATAAATAGTAACCAATTAATTTTGTGCCATTCTTTTAGAGTCATAAAGGTGCTGTATGTTTTCGCGATAAACCATTTCCCCAATTTGATAACCTATGTAAAATCTTCGGGAAGGATAGAGCTACTGGTGATGGAGCTACTAATCTTGGTGAAGATGTGACTAAAGATACACAAAGAAACTCACATGTTGATGTGGAAGGGTTGGAAGAGATGCAAGAAACTGCTCGTGTCAATAGTAAACGCAAAAGGCCTCCAACAGATGACATAGAAAGCTGTTATAAGGAAGCAGCGAAAGAAATGAAAGAGACTTTCAAGGAGGTTGGTGAAAAACTAAATGAAACAATATAAAATATAGGAAGACAAGAAAATAGGGAAGCGTGTGATATGATAGATAAAGTTATCAAAGATATACAACGCATGCCAAATATCAATGTCAAACAACAAATTAAGGCGATCGACATGTTTAGCAAAGATCAATTCCATACCCGAGCGTTTTTTCCGATGACAGAAGAAGAAAAGATGTGTTACATGGAAATGATTGGGGATGGTTCAATATCATGATTAGTTTTTTTTTTTTTTTTTTTTTTTTTTTTTTTTTTTTTTTTTTTTTACGAATATTGAAGTTGACTTATTGCACATTTTGTATTAGACATAGTTATGTTTTTTTAGTTGTTAGGAATATTGAATTATACTTTTTCCATATATCCTACATTGGACATAGTTTTTGAATAGTATGATTTGCATATTTTTTAAAAATCAATTTTATTCCTTTATATTAGAAATATGTTTTCCAATACAAGATGTATAAAAAATAATATTAATTGATTAGAAACTAAATTATTTACTAATAATTAATATTCTAAAAATATTAATTGATGGGTTTGAACCATAAGAACTTTCCTATGTGCACATGCAAACCATAATGCTAAGATCTAAGTTTCTCTAATTGAACATGCAATGTATCCAATGCTTACAATTCTAGATCTAGTGTAAACAATTGAATCATATCATATTAAAACAGATCTAGCAGAATAGCTTAGGTTGCTTGCTTGAGACTTCTTGATCTTGGAGCTTAGAGTCACAATTGCCACTCCTCTAATGGCTTAGAAACACCAACTAGCAAGAGGATGATCTTGAGAGAGAGAGAGAGACAGAGAGAGAGAGAGAAGGGTAAGAAATCGGCTCTAGGGTTTCTTGCCTTGCATGAATGCCGATTTCCCTCACCCAAGGGATTTATTTATACTATGAGCTATTAAGGTTTCACCCTTAACCCTAATTGAATAACTTAGGCCCTAAGCAATCCAAAGATCCTCCTAGATATTAGGCTTGGATGATTTTAAGGTCTCCTAACCCTAAAATCCGTCCACCCTTATATCTATAAGGATACATAGCCCAAAACACAACTATCACACATTTGACAGTTTATGCCCCTTTATTCAATTAATCTCTTTAAGTCACCAAATTAATTCTTAATTAATACATGACTTATATCAATCAAATAATATTATTATTCCTTTAATATATTATTATCATAATATATTAACAATAATATCTCTTCTCTCTTTACAAATCAGCCTGTGAACTTGCTATGGTGAAGGCAACCCAAAAGGACCATGCACAACCGGGTCACGTACTTACCAAATATAGTTACATCCTTAGACACTATTCCAACAGTCTCCTACTTGGATAAGTCTAGTAACTATATATGCAAACACAATCCGATTAGCAATCGTAGCTCTCAAAGACGCTATCAAACTCTGATCTTATCAGTATCCTGTCCTTTAGATAAGGGATCGTACAGTCCTCTGTTTAGATATTGTGCGGACAATCTCATGGAACTTATTTTCCAGCAGTTGGTTTCTCGATCTCAGATTCATTTAACATAGAACTTAATTGAACACATCAATTCAGTCCTGACCGGACCCGATACATAAGTCAAATCAAATCATCGAGGGGCCCTGATATCGCTTTTACCCTCGTAGGATAAAAGTAACAGATAAACTTCAACTTATATGCATTTACTATTTACTAATCAATTATACACAACAATGCGTTTTATGACATCAATTTACTAATGTAGTTTCGCATTGTCAATGCACAACCAATTAATAAACAATAAACCATATATCTTGGTTTTAAGACCATATGATATTATCGTCTTGCGATCACTTGCGTTACGTTCCATAAAGTGATTCCAGCAAGCGCGAGTTTATTCTAATGCTCAAAACTTGTTCATAAGCACTCATGAATGTTGCAGCAAACCTTTGCTATGTCTAATACCTTTTAGACAATCTACACACCAATTCATGACAATCTTCATTCATACATACTTCCAACATATGAACGATTGTGGACCATTCGAATAATTCGATTATTCTTAATAACTCAATTATTCTGGAAGTCAAAACATGCAAAGTGAAACAATAGTTAAATAATTAACATAAGACAATAGCTTTACTTATAAATAATACTCCTTTTATTTAATCATCAAATGTTAATTACATTTATCTATTACATGTTTCCAAACTATCTAATCTAAACTAATATCATATTTCAGCCCAATGCTCCTAGCGTGCTGCAAATGCTTAACCCTACTCAGTCCCTTCGTAAGCGGATCTGCTGGGTTATCCTCTGACGATATGCTCTTTTCTACAAGGTGTATTTCTTCTACCTGATGTCTAATAAAGTGATATTTTCTATCGATATGCCGAGATCGACCATGATCCCTCGGTTCCTTGGTCAAGGCAACCGCTCCTTCATTATCACAGAAAATTTCCATAGGCTCCTTTATGGCAGGCACAACTCCAAGGTCACCAATGAAGTTCTTCAACCACATCACCTCCTTTGATGCTTCGGTCGCTGCAATGTACTCTGATTCGCACGTTGAATCAGTTACAGCCTCTTGCTTGGAACTTTTCCAAGTCACTGCTCCTCCATTAAGGGTAAAAACCCAGCCCGACTGCGAACAGTAGTTGTCCCTGTCGGTATGGAAGCTTGCGTCACTATACCCTTGTACCTTTAAGTTATCACTATACCCTTGTACCTTTAAGTTATCACTATCGATATGCCGAGATCGACCATGATCCCTCGGTTCCTTGGTCAAGGCAACCGCTCCTTCATTATCACAGAAAATTTCCATAGGCTCCTTTATGGCAGGCACAACTCCAAGGTCACCAATGAAGTTCTTCAACCACATCACCTCCTTTGATGCTTCGGTCGCTGCAATGTACTCTGATTCGCACGTTGAATCAGTTACAGCCTCTTGCTTGGAACTTTTCCAAGTCACTGCTCCTCCATTAAGGGTAAAAATCCAGCCCGACTGCGAACAGTAGTTGTCCCTGTCGGTATGGAAGCTTGCGTCACTATACCCTTGTACCTTTAAGTTATCACTCCCTCCGAGGACTAAAAACCATTCCTTGATCCTCCGAAGGTACTTAAGTATATTCTTGACTGTAATCCAACGGGCTCTGCCAGGGTTCCCTTGATATCTACTGACCATGCTTAAAGCAAAGGCCACATCAGGGCGAGTACAAGTCATAGTGTACATGATTGAGCTAACTGCGGAAGCGTAGGGTACTCGGCTCATGTTAGCTATATCGACTTCTGTACTCAGACTTTGAGTCTTGCTCAATTTGGCATTACTCTGTATCGGTAGTTCTCCCTTCTTCGAGTTTTCCATACTAAAATGTTTTAGTACCTTATCCAGGTAAGTATTCTGACTAAGTATTATTAGTCTCTTACTTCTTTCTCTCACTATCCTTATTCCCAAAATATAGGAAGCCTCTCCGAGGTCCTTCACAGCGAAACACTTCCCGAGCCAGGACTTAACCTCCTGCAGAGTCGGGATGTCATTTCCTATGTGAAGTATGTCATCGACATACAAAACGAGGAAGCTAACTATACTCCTACTGGCCTTAACATATACACATAATTCATCTTCACTTCGTACAAATCCAAACTCTTTGAATTTCTCATCGAAGCAAAGATTCCATCTGCGAGATGCTTACTTAAGTCCATAAATGGACTTCTCAAGCTTGCACAATCTATTGGGATGCTTCAGATCGACAAAACCTTCTGGCTGAGCCATGTAAATATCCTTAGCCAACTTCTCATTAAGGAAAGCGGTCTTGACATCCATCTGCCATATCCCATAATCATGAAATGTAGCAATGGCTAGCATCACCCTAATAGACTTTATTTTAGCAACTGGTGAGAAGGTCTTATCATAGTCAACTCCTGGAGTTTGAGTAAAGCCCTTCGCCACCAATCGTGCCTTATACGTGTGCGCATTCCCATCCACGTCGGTCGTCTTCTTGAAGATCCATTTGCACCTAACCGTCTTACGTCCGAGCACAATGTCAACCAAATTCCAAACTTGGTTGTCATACATGGACTGAATTTCGCTGTCCATCGCCTCTTTCCATTTGGTAGACTCTGGGCTTGCCATGACTTCCTTATAGCTATTAGGTTCATCTAGATTTATTAGTGTACCATCACTAGTATACGTGTCCCCTTCGGTAGTAATATGAAAACCATAAAACTGGGGGTGAACTCTAACTCTTTCGAAACGTCTAAGAGATAAGGACTCATCAATCGGTTCAACCGGAGTTTCCTCGTCGGGTTGAGCGCCAGCGTTAGAGGTTCCTTCATCGCTCGACTCTTAAATCTCTTCAAGATCGATTTGCCTCCAACTATCCCCTTAGCTTATGAGTTCTCGCTCTCGGAAAACTCATCTCCCTGCAACGAAGATAACATTGTCACTCGGTCTATACAAGAGATATCCAAAGGATTTTTGCGGGTAGCCGATGAAAATACATCACTCACTACAAGGTTCGAGCTGGTCGTGAGTTTCTCGTCTTACGAAAACTTCACAGCCCTAAACCTTGATATGTGCCAACGAGGGAGTTTTCCCTGTCCACTTCTCGTGAGGTGTTTTGGCAACCTTCTTTATAGGGACTCGGTTAAGGATATGGGCGGCAGTCTCTAAGGCATACCCCCATAATGAGATAGGTAGCGAAGCACGACTCACCATAGAACGAACCATGTCTACCAGGGTTCGATTACGCCTTTCTACCACACCATTCAAATGCGGTGTTCTAGGTGGCATCAATTGCGAAACTATTCTGCATTCCTTGAGATAGTCGTGGAATTCAAGACTTAGGTACTCTCCTCCTCGAACGGATCGAAGCATCTTGATTTTCCTGCTCAATTGATTCTCCACTTCATGTTTGAACTCTTTGAACTTTTCAAACGTTTTCTGACTTGTGCTTGATTAAGTAAATATACTCATATCTAATATAGCCATTGGTGAAAGTCATGTAGAAGCGGTTCCCATACTTTATGGTGGATCTAAAGGGCCCACACACGTCGGTGTGTATAAGATCCAATAATCCCTTAGCCGTCTCACAAGTGCTAGTGAAAGGTGACTTGGTTATCTTTCCAAGTAAACAAGATTCGCACGTGTCAGCTTCCCTAAGGTTGAATGACTCCAACACTCCATCCTTTTGGAGTTGGGCTATGCGCTTCTTGTTGACATGTCCAAGACGACAATGCCACAAGGATGCTTTATCCATACTATTGGAAGAATCCATACATAACACATCATTTCCTAGGTTATCTACAACCATAACAATTTCATAAATTCCATTA